CGCTCTCTCTCTCTCTCTCTCTCTCTCTCTATCTATCTATCTATCTATCTATCTATCTCTATCTCTCTGTCTCTGTCTCTGTCTGGTCTCGGCTCGGTGCGCTCGATAGCGGAAGTTGTAGTCGGCCCGATCCCGATTATTACGACTTTAATCTACGAGAGCATCGCTCTCTACTTGACTCTCGCATCATCCGGCTATCCAGTTCCATTGCTTCTCCATTTTATGCGGCTTTTAATTATTGCACATAATTCGTCAATTAATATTATCCTTGCGCATTACCACCTTCTTATCTCCCCCATCCTAACCCGCCTTAGAGCATTGGCAATTGGTTGGCATTGGCAATTGGTTGGCATTGGCATTAGCAATCACGCTCGATTACCCCTTCACTATGATTATATGCCGTTATTTAGATTTTCATTTCATTACTCCTGTGAAATCGAGATGATTTTCCATCGGTTAATTAATTCAGTTGACACGCTAAGACGATCATTATACGAAAATTCATATTCGCATTAACTAGTAAGTGTATAATGTGTCATTCGCGCATTGTCAGTTAAATTTGCACGTACAAAATGAAAAATTCCATCTACATGGACTCTGTAATATGTGTATGCATATAAATATATAATGTTAACATCGTCTTGGGTGCAAGGCATACATATCTTCCTCATCGTGTACAAAACTCGTATACGAAATAAATTAAGTTACTTAAGATCATGAAATTTTATATGAAATGTTAGGACGATAAAATAAAAGAGTGAATTCAAAAATTTCAACTGGATTTAAAAGATAAAAAAAACGAACCAATGCAAAAGAAATAGAAAAAAAATGATCCAATTATTGTTAAAGTCTCTGAAAATATTCAATTTGTAATTTGTATTACGAAAACCTAAGAGGTAAAACTGTATACAAAGAAGACAAATATAAATGTTATTGAAAGGAGAACATTTCTTTTAAAAAATGTCATAAAGTAGTGAGATAATTTGTACTTTAATTCCTTCCTAATACATTTCATCTTTTTAACATTCTTTGTCTTTCTCGACTTTCAATATCTTTCATGTGAATTTGATATAAACATCCGAAATTCGATTATACACGATAAATTTTGGGAATATCAAAATTATCAAAAATTCCGCGACTTTACTTGAAACACATTGCAGGTGTTAATTTTGTTCTTTTTTTAATCGTTTTAAAATCGGCATTAATCGTTTAAAATCTATTAACTTTATTAATAGACTTCATTGGCCAATAAATGCGCGACTAATTAAATAATCAATTATATTTTTATTTGACACGTTCTTAAAAGCTTTTCGTCCACTCCCGTAGAGAACGAATTTGTTTTTTGATTTTTGTTCAGCCCTCAAATCTCATCTAAGTACTCACCCGGTTTCCAAGAAGTTGAAGAACTAAAACTTCGAGAATAGATCGAACCTCGATGACAAAGAGCTTACGACAAGGTCTGTGCTAAGGGAAAAGCTGATTAAATTAAAAAATGCTTTAATTTCGAGAGGGACGCTTTCACTAATATGTCAAGACATATCTTTTAATTCTAAATCGTTAAAATCAATATCTACACTTAAATAATCCCAGTGTTTTTGTTTTTTTCTTCCTTTCTTTTTTTCCTTCATCGCACTGAACCACAACATAAAAAGGATTTATTTTATTCAACAATAAGAATAAAAAATGTAAATAATATCTAAAGCCTGATAAAATCTAGATCCTCGGACCTGTAGATACATAACTTATGAAGACATAACTTTCGAAATAATGAATGGGCAATTAAGACATTCTAATGAAACTAATTATAATAATATTAAGCGTTTGAATGGAAAGTAAGAGATCGATTGAAGAATGGACATGTTAAAGTTCATTGTTTTTGTTACGTGTTAGTTAATAATCCAAATGATAGGGGAGCTCGTAAAATATTAGATACTTGGTACTTAGTGATTTATCCTCAATTATCCCATTTATCCCAGGTATACGGAAATAATATTTTTATTCGTTTAATCTTGCAATTTACAAATAATTTTTACCAAGTTTTTGTTAATTTTCCTCCTTTAGTTTATTTACTTTTCAATGCGAATATAATTTAAAAAAAATAAGTGTAAATATGAAAAACACTGTACGACATAATCTACAATCAAAGAACATCAAACTTTTGCAAATATCTCCTTACAACTACTTTTACAAAAGGCTATTATACCAGGTATCCTGCGCTATTATTTCCTGTTTACGAAACATATGAGTGATTGATTTGTGTCATGCATGTAAAGTTGATTAATTAGAATGATAAAATTACTTTGTACACTAAGAAAATAATATAGGACATTACTAATCAATTTAATTTATATAAGTAATCGTAATTCGAAGCACTAAGATTAACACAAATTATAAATTTAAGGATGAAGATTACCAATGATTGACAAAACGTTTAATTAAAAATGAATTGATATTTAAGTCAAGAATGATTTAACGAATTGTTTGTGATTGGAATAACAGTGTAGCGTTAATGTAGAAAAATCAAATCTTATTTCAAAATTTTCTAACATATAATCTAAATACAGTTTAATGCTATAATATATGAGAACTGTCCCGACATTCCATTAATATCCGTTATTTAATGTGATCAACAGTTCATAATTAGCGCGATAGAGATGTAAGGGGAACGATATGAATGTATACCGTTGAAAACTATAAATACATAATATCGGGGACAGGAAGGAGAAAAAAAAAAGGAATTAAAATCATTTCGATGCTTGAAATGTCTTTGTTAACATATTCTCTTCGTTCAAGCTGCTGCAGAGAATTCCTGAGCATACATGACAGCTTTTAAGATTTTTAGTCTATCTTTATTCGCTTGAGTGTTTTCAAATTTTTCTTAAGGTTAATCCTTTGACGACCGCAGCGTACCTGCTGTTTAGCTACCTGTTTCTCATCACTTTTCTTCCTACTCAAATATTAGCGTATAGACAAAACGAAATAATATTACTTTTAGCCGTTGATCTCCGCATATAATATAGATTATTAGTTGTATATAAATAAAACAATCGATAAATTTTAGGTGAGGCGCGATTGAAGAAGAAGAAGAAGAAGAAGAAGAAGAGCAAAATAGAAATACATAAAAATTTTGTAAGGGCTCATTAGGATTTTGTAAACGAAACGACGCTGCTCGATTGAAATAAACTAACTAAAAAGAAATAGAGCTTGTTTTTTGAGGAAGTGCGGAGCTACATAACATCAATTTTGTTTGCCAGACTGAACAATGATGGAATCGTAATAAAATTTCTCCGGTATAGCAAAAGTTTGTAATTTACTGGTACGTTTTAACAAATATAAATTATTGTTTTATTAAAGCCCATCTGTTGTAATACGTATAAAATTAAATAATAATTGTTATATGGAAATCATTTGTTTCATTACAATTTCACTTTTCAAATAATGAAATTAAAAAATTTCATCCTCGTTTTCCTATAACGACTGCACGTAATGCACAACCTTTTCTAAATTTGAAGTTGTAAAAATAATTAAATAAATACCTAAGCTCCATCGACATACTTCAATCATACTTGGGCATTTACACGCTAGATAACTCCCGAATTAATTAACTTATAAAAAGGTGTGTGTCAAAAGTTAGAATCGAAAGGTTTAGTGCTAGAATTTTATCGGTTACATTATTATATAAATGCGCCGATTTATTATGTCTATAACTGCATTGAAACTTATATTCTATTAAATTGGGAGTGCGGTATTTGATTACAAATGTATGCGGAAATCGGTTACTCGGGCAAGCTCACCTCGTTACGTTCTTCGAATTAATTTGTGCCACATCATTTGTCCTTCTCCATCAAAACAAACAGTCTCCAGATAAAGGGGAGCGAAAATTTATTAAAAATCATCGACGATTCGTCATGCCCGTAAGGCTCGCCTCGTTACACTCACCGTAACATTCGCATTGGGTGAAATTTCAAAAAATTATTTTCTTTTCTCCATTCTCGTTGGAGTATCGATATTTTCCCAACCAAAATTACGTAATTGCCACATGAACGAGCCCAGTGAAAAGTCACGAATCGCTGAAATTCTGTTAGCCAGTGTCTTCATTTTACACACGCGAATCCTTGAGGATGAACACGACCCGCTCACAATATTCATAGCTCAAAGAAATTGGCGCATTTAAGAAAATAAGATTTTTACAGCTGAAAAATGTAGCACTCGACGTCATTGCCGGCTCAAGTAGGTTGATTATCTCTCGCGCCAAGTACATCTAAATTTGCGCTGGCATCGGAAAGTCGGGCGAGAGTGAGATTGAGAGAGAGAGAGAGTGTGTGTGTGTGTGTGTGTGTGTGTGTGAGAGAGAGAGAGAGAGGGAGCATGAATGTGAGAGGCAGGGGGGAGGGAGAGAGTGCGCGCGTGTGTATATGCGTGAACGACGAAAGGCGCACGCGCTCGAATTGGTTAATGCGCCGCGTTTGACGATTCGCCGTCATCCCCCGCTGAAGAGGACGGCCGCCTCGTGCGCTCGCCGGCAAGGAGCGGAAACCCAGCATCCGAGGGTAGTTGGGCGCCCGCCCCCTCGGCCGTCGGGGAGCCGCCTCGCGACCAATCCCCGGCCGCCCCCGGCGTCCCCCTCCCGGGCGACAGTTCGGCTCGCGGCTGGTAAGGGCCTGCCGTCGGCTGCGGCAGTGGCGTCGTGGCCGGGCAGTGCATCGTGAGCGCGATCGGCTCTCGCTCTCGACTTCTTGGTCGCTGTTGTCGTCGTCGTCGTCGTCGTCGCCGTCGCCGTCGTCGTCGTCACCGTCGCCGTAGTCGCCGCCACGACCACCATCACCAGCGTTGCTACCATCGTCGTAACTGCTACTGTCGACGTCGTCGTCGTCGTCGTCGTCGTCGTCGTAGTCGGCGTCGTCGTCGTCGTCGGCGTCGTCGTTGTCGTTGTCGTCGTTGTCGTTGTCGTCGTTGTCGTTGTCGTCGTTGTCGTTGTCGTTGTCGTTGTCGTTGTCGTTGTCACCGTCGTCGTTATCGTTATCGTCACTTTCCTAAATTCTCTAAAGGAAAAAAGAGGGAGAAAAAACGAGGCGAGCACGAGTAGTCGTCCCGACGAGGTGGAAAGGTGCGCGGGTGCTAGTGGATGGACCTGTCGAATGAAGCTCGCCGCGCGGAACGTCTGCTTGAGCAGCGGCCGGGGCAGCGCCGGTGCCGCACCCGCGATGAAGGTGTTCGCGAGGCCTCCCGAGGAGCCGACCGCGGCCTTCCTTCAGCAGTCGCTCGATCATCAGCAGTGCGCCCAGGAGATGTCGGCTTGCGGCCTCCAGCCGGAACAGGGTCTCGTGAGTCTGCAACCCGCCCAAGGAGTCGCCGCTGTCTTCGCCGAGAGCAGGCAGAGCTTCGAGCCCGACCAAGTTGCCTGCATTTGCGAGGCTCTTATGCAGAGCAAGGACATCGACAAGCTCAGCCGGTAGGTCCTTCGAGGCTCTCTCTCGCTCAATTTCGCTATCACGCAAGCCGCTTCCGCCGACTGCGAGCTCTCTTTCTCGCTTCCAACCTAATCTACCACCTATCCAGCCATTCATCCACCGATTTACCTAACCACCTACCTACCCACCTACCTACCCACCTACCTACCTACCTACCTACCTACCTACCTACCTACCTACCTACCTACCTAACCCGTCTGTCTGTCTTACTACCTAATTACTAATAACCACCTATATGTCTGCCAACTCTTCACAATCAAACGTATTTAATGAATCGAGCGGACCTCCATTACATGGCCGGAAACTACTTGGCTCATTTTCCCAGGTTTGCTTCATTAATCGCCAGCATTTATTAATTGACAGCCGATTCATTCGCCATTATTGGCCGTATTAATGCTTTTCCCATCATAGTCATGACAATGATTTAGCCAATTCACCAAAGTATTTATTAAAAGTGACCAAACGCGCTTCGCGGAAGAATTTTCCACCCCGAGTGATCGCTTCGATTGTGTACCCAAGATATTCTAGTGTGACCTCGATAAATTGAAGCACAAAGTGCCTAATGATCGGCGATTGGACCTTCGCGAGCGGATTCCCCATACAAACTCGTTAAAACAAAATTCATTGCGAGTATTATGTAAGTTGGCCCGTGCAGGCGACGGCTGCTCGATTGCGAGCTTCGAATCTCTTTCCGAAGCTCTCCGCCACGTCGCATTCCATTCGTTAAGAATGAAATTGGCGCGCGGAGAGGCGCTCGATGCTATAAACATGAAGTACTAAAGGTGCTTTGCTCGCGCAGATTCGTTTACTCGCTGCCGAAGCAGCGAATGATGAGCGAGAGCGTGCTGATGGCGACGGCGACGGTCGCCTTTCACCGCGGCAACTACTTCGATGTGTACAAGATCCTCGAGTCGCATCAGTTCTCCCAGCGCCGGCACCCGGAGCTACAACAGATGTGGTTCAAGTCGCACTACAACGAGCAGGAGAAAATACGAGGTCGACCCCTAGGACCCGTCGACAAGTACAGGCTACGGAAAAAGTACCCGCTGCCCAAAACCATCTGGGACGGCGAGGAGACGATTTACTGTTTCAAGGAGCGTTCGAGGAACGCCCTGAAGGAGATGTACCTGAAAAACCGGTATCCCAACCCCGACGAGAAGAAAAATCTCGCGAAGAAGACTGGGCTCACGCTCACCCAGGTCTCCAACTGGTTCAAGAACAGGAGGCAGCGCGACCGCACGCCCCAGCCCCGGACGTGAGTATTCCCCTACCCGGGAGCGAGCCTCTGCCGACAATGAAGCGATTTTTTCAAGCGCGACCCGCGACCAAAACTCGGCCTCGTACTCCATTATCTATCTACGGCCTCTCATTGCTCGCCGATAGTCACCAATACCGCCTCCTCCTCCTGCTCCTCCTACTACTACTACTACTACTATTACTACTAGTACTGATACTACTGCTATTACTATTACTATTACTATTACTACTACTACTACTACTACTACTACTACTAACTAACTGACTAATTCTAACTACTAGTACTACTTACTACTTACTACTACTACTCCTATCACTGCTCGGACTCTTCCATCATTATCACCACCTCCGTTGCCATCGCCATTGTCTGTCGGCCATCGCCATCGCTATCGCCATTGCCATACCATCACGATTATCATTACCATCATCACCATCATCATCATTATCATCATCATTATCATCATCATTATCATCATCACCATTACCATTACCATTTCATACGCTATTTTGACCAGCACAATGGAATGAATCAACGCAACGAGCATGGCTTTTTACAATTGAGTTACAGCATTTTTGACGCTCAACGTGCGCTATCCCGTCCTTTGTGTCACGTGATCTGGCGCATTGATCGCTCATGAATAATGGGCTGAAAAATTAAACGGAAGCGCGAAAGTCGACTCAACCGATCGCGGCGGCCTCCTCGTTGCGCCACATTGCATCTCCATAATCAAAGTCCTCGATCAATATCAAATCATAATCCCAGTGCCATTAAGTACTCGCTTAAACAGCATTCGTGTCCTTTACGCACCCTCACCCGCGAACACTCGTGAGGTCGGTCGCCAAGAGCACCACCAGGACCAAGAGAGTCAACGAAACGAGAGCGTGCCAGGCGAAAAAGCTCGGGGGCTCAGCGCGCCGCCCCTGGCACCACCGTTGCCGCCTCTCTTCCGGTTTATAATCTCGTGTTATTATTGACACGACGGGGAGGCGCAACAGGCTGCCCGCGTGTCGTCGCTTTACGTCGCTTTACGTCGCTCTTTGGCTCGCGCCGCGATAACGCAACAGACAGCAAATCGAGCCTTATAAAATCCGACACTCGAAGCGCGCGCCGCGATTACACTCCCCCGTCCACTCAATCGTGAGCCGATATCGCGCGTATGCGTGCGTGCGTGCGTGCGTGCGCGCGCCGGTTTTCGTTTCACCTCGGCCTGTTGGCTCCCATCTCCTCCTCCACCCTTTCTTCTTTCGCACGCTTTTTTTTTTCTTCGTTCGGCGAGCGAGTGAACGAACGCGCACAAGCCGAGAGCGAATATTAATGTATATAATGGCAGCGGGCGCCCTCGCGTCTCTGTTAATGGCGCGTGAGCGCGCGTCGACGGGGGCGGCGGTGGCGGAGGCGGAAAGGAGGGCGAATGGAGGCGAGCTGGAGGAAAGGCACGGCGACAAGTTGTTATGGCTACGGGCTCCATGGCTCACGGTCACGAGCTTACGACGCCGGCGGAGGCGGTGGGGAACGTCGACCGTCGCTACGGCGTTACCCGCGAAATTTCTCGCTCGCTCCATTCATTTACCTTCTTCGATTTCCCTTCGCGCTCGCCTTCCTTCCTTCCTCGCCTTCGTCCACTCCTTCCTTCTCTCGCTCTCTCCGTTGCCTCTGCCCTCCCTCCAAACCCCCGCGCTGCCCGCGGCCGCCATCGGCACCCCCCCCCTCCGCGCCCTCCGCCCACCCTCCCTCAAGGCAAGCTAAGCTAGGCTTTGCCACGGCGGAACTGCGCGACGCGTCACGCATCGCGCAAAATCCAGCCTACGACGACTCGACGATGGACGGACTCGATGAGGATGCCACTCGTCGGTGGGTCGCGATACGCGCGATCCTTCTGTTCTGGCCAATTGGCTGACGCTTACGTCATGTGACGTTGATAAGCAAACAGCGCTTGGCGGCGCATTCTTTTCAATGACCGGGAAGAAATTACGCGCAACGTGATTTGCAAACGAGAATTCCGATGACTAGAAGCCAGCTATTTATTTCCAATCAATGGAACGAAACGGCTGAAAGAGCACCGCTCGCTAATGGACGCTCGTTTCCAGGCATTTTTTTCTTTCTCTCTTTTTTTCTTCATTCTCTCTCTCTCTCTCTCTCTCTCTCTCTCTTTCTGTGTACGGCCTGCCTCTCTCGTGGCCTTTTTTTCTCAGCGAGAACGTATTATTACCCTATCAAAATCCGAGCGCAGAGTCTTGTACCAAGAGCGTTTGTTTTCACTCGACTTGTAACATAACAGCAATAGCAGCACCACTACACCACTACACCACTACACCACTACACCAATACCCCAATACCCCAATACCCCAATACCCCACTACACCACTATAGCACTACAACACAACACCACCACCAACCTCGCTCTTCGCTTCCGTTAGCCGCATTCTAGTTGACCCTCTCACCATTATATTATTCTTAAGATAATTTGGTTTTGATCGTCGATGTGTACAGTTGAATGCGATAAAGATTAGGCCCCATGAGAAATTCGTTGAAACAGACGCGCCTCGTCCGCGAGTCCTTCTACTCTCGAATATAATCGATCGAACGTCTTGTATAAAACGACAATGCAAAAGTTAATGAAAAAGTTTCGGGCTTTTAAAAGCATAACGAAATTTTAATTATGCAACCGTACGGACGTTAGAATTACACTTCCGTTGAGAGCAGCAGAGTCGCCTGCCTCTCGTTATTTCATTTCTTTCTCTCTTTTTTTCTTTCTTCGTACCTTCCATCCTTTCTTCCTTCCTTCCTTCCTTCCTTCCTTCCTTCCTTCCTTCCTTCCTTCCTTCATTCCTTCTTTCATTCCTTCTTTCATTCCTTCTATTCCTTCCTTCCTTCCTTCCTTCCTTCCTTCCTTCCTTCCTTCCTTCCTTCCTTCCATCCTTTTTTCTATCCGTCCTACCGTCCATTCTTTCATACGTCTGTCCGTCCGTCCTTTTTCTTTCTTTGATTTTTTTAATTTTATTTCGGTTTTGCGACTTCCGTCTTTCTGCCTTTTTCTCTCGGAGATAGATAAGCAGCAACGAAGAAATGACGAAAAAATTCGTATCGTATGATGATTCATCGCCATAATAATGGTGTAATATTTCTGTGTACTGCGTGCGTGCGTGAGTGCGTGCGTGCGGGAGAGGGGGCGAGGTACATTACCCCATTGAGCGGCGCCACGTAACAATAGTTGGGACATTACCGTTTCGTGCTTGAAGTTTTACTTTTATGCTTACGTTTATTAGATTCCTCCACGCACAACACACATATGTCGCTCTCGCTCTATTTCGTCGAGATTTGCATTGCAGATGAAGAATACGGCTTCGTGATATTGTTTACTTAAGGTCGGCTTGGGACTAAGTTTTGGAAAGTCGCGTGGGCGGAGAAAGAGGTCTGATGGGTGGAAAGGACCCGCGCGCGCGGGGTGGTGGGGCCGGGACGAGCGCTCACAAAAATTGAATTCGCCTTTCGCGGACGCTCGTTAAAAAAGGCCGACCGCGCACTGTAGAAGCGCGCCCGAGCAAGCGACTCGCATCCAGATTGGATTCTCGAAATGTGCCTGCCGTCCAGGGGAGCGGGCGTGCACGCGCGCGCGCGGGAGAGAAAGAGAGAGAGAAAGAGAGAGAGAGAGAGAGAGAGAGAGAGAGAGAGAGAGAGAAAGAAAAAAGCGGGACCGAGCCGAGTCCGGAGGTGAAAGAAAGCAAAGAGAGGAAATCGAGAGGGAACAGCAGTGCCTTTGTCGCGATGGCTTTTCTCCCGACCGCGCGCGATTCCATTAGTTCCTGCTGCGAGGATGGCGACAAATGAAGACAAGCGCCAAGCAACGACATTCTCTGCCCCTGCCTGTCTACTTGCTTTATTCGCCTCGCCGCGACTCTCCACCCCCCCCCCCCCCCACCCCCCCCCCACACACCGCC